CTCAAGACTCAACATAAATCCTCACTCAATCCTAACAACTATTTATTCCAGCTGATTTGGGGGAGACCACCCTCCCTCCCCCCACCCTTTCGCTGCCCCGTAAAGCAGGAATTTTGTCTTACCCAGAAAGCAGTGGGGGAAAACTCTGCCTCCCCTCTCAATGGGAAGAGAAGCAATAACCTGAGTTAGGCTATGCAAGAGTCTGGGATGTGTTAATCATTACAGGTGGCCATTTAAATATATCCTATCTCTAGGAGTTTCTTATGGATTTGCTGTGTGCCATGACTGGGAGCTACCAAGCTCCTGGCAGTGTAGAGTCCACTCTGCATGCCCAATCATATGCCCAAGAGAGTCTCAAAGTCAAAACTGAGAGACAGAAGCAAGAAGGCCACTCTGGTTTCAAATCCAAGGCATGGTCTCCAAGCCAACTTTACTGGTAACAGAGCCGAAATTTTTCTGTTTATTTTCTCGGAACCTAGAGGAATTCAAGAAATCGGCCCCTACTAAGTGACTGCTTTCATCTTTTATTCAACAAATAATTGCAATGTGCCTTCACTGGCCCTATTTTAAGCTTTGCAGATGTGAAGTATAGAAAGCAATACTTGCGGCTCCTGAGGGCACAGTCTAGGGCGAAGATGGACATGGAATCAAACAATTAAATGAGATAAGCCAAAGTGTCCCAGACCATGCTCCAAGGAACACAATGACAATAGGTACTGGAGTGGATGTTTTTGCTTGTTTGCACCTGCCTGCCCAGCATCCACTTGCCCTTCCTCTGTTGATACTTCAATATTCCTTGGGGAAATTATCCACATGCTCCCTCTGTCCAAATATGCCTCAAGTGGAGCCAGTTCTGCTGCCTGAATCCCAGGGTGGGCATGTGATCCTGCCTGGCTGATTAGAACCTCATAGCTCTCCGGTTACAGTAATTGGCTCAAGAACAGCCCACGACTTAATCAGACCCAACCAGAAGTAACCCTGGGACACTTTCTGCAACTACTGTGAGAAAGATACTCTCTTGTCCATACTTGGTGCTGTGAAGCTGTGAGCCTGGAGTGGGTGGGAGCCCCGTGAGGAAAGAGCCAGCCTGACAGTAAAGTCACACAGAGGACGGCAGAAGATCCAAGAAGGAAGACTCCTGATATTATTTGGGACTGGTTCCAGCCACAGATGAAGAGATTGGCTCCTTCCTTCATACATTCATTCACAAAACTTTACTGGGCATCTCTTATGTCCCAGGTATTATTTCAGGCCTTGGGGGACACGGTAGTGAAAAAATCTCACAAAATCCTTGCCTCTAAGAAGCTTATAACTCCTTAGAAGGTGATAAACAATCACACAAAATCCCTGCTTTTAAGGCACTTGTAACTGAGTGCAGGAAGACAGACAGTAACTATGAAAATAAGAAAAAGAAATAGTTTGCTAGATGGTGAGCACTGCCATGAAGAAAAACAAAGCAAGGGAGAAGGTTGGGAGAGCCATTTATGTAGGACACTCAGTGAAGGCCTCATGAAGACCCGAAGAAGGTGACGGAATGGGCCTGGGGGAGAAGCTTCCAGACAGCAGGAGCAGGTGTCAGGGCTCAGGTGTGAGTGAACAGGACAGAGCAGGGGCTGGCAGTGAAGGCGGGAGGTGAGGTCCCAGAGCGTGGGGCCTGTGGGCCTCTAAGGATGTTTATTCTCTCAGTGATGTGAGTTGCACCTGGGGCTAGAGGGAGGTGGTGGGAGTGGTGGACTGAGCAGAGGACTGACATGGCCCAACACACATTCTAACAGGATCACTCTGGCTGCTGCACTGAGGTGACACGGAAGAGGGTGAAGACATCTATGAAGACCAGTTAAGGAAGCTATTGTGATCATTTAAGCAAGAGTTGTGACCACGGCTTGCACCAGAATGGTAGTGATGGAGATGGTGAGAAGTGGCCAGAGCCAATTAATTCCCTTAAAAGCACTTTGTGTTGCTTTCATGTTGTTTGCACCTGGAAGAGGCTCAGCAAGCATGTGCTATTCCACGTAATCTCAGATACCTTCCATAGAAAAAACACTATTATTTTATGCACCACTAAGAAGAAAGAAATGCTGCCAATTAATCTATGCCATGATTCTTTCCAGACTTATTATATATCACGTTGGCATGAGCAGCTGTGACCACATGTACACAAGTAGCTAAACTTTTGCAGTAAGAGCTTTGATGATCATGGCACAATAATGCAACAAAAAATGTTGAGCTATCATTTAGCACTAGAAAGTACTTAGAAATCAGACTTGTGCTGATCAGGTTCATGTTTGCATCTTCAGCTGCCTGACGACTGTGATTTGGGAGAGCATGCTTGTTCACTGGACCATGTCACTCCCCTGCTTAAAATCCTCCAGTGACTCCAGAATGCCTGTAAGATCAAATCCAAACACCCTCACATGGCCACTGGGCTCTTCAAGGCATCCAAGGTTCATCTCTTGTGCCTTCCAGCCCCCCCCCCAACACTGCAGGAGTACTGACCCCCCCCCCCAAAATGAGCCATGATTACACCTACCATCTGCCTTTGCACATTCTGTTCCCTCCCTCGGAAACACCCTTCCCACCTACCAATTACTCCTTCTCCTGGGTAATTCTTGCCATTTCTGCAAGACTCAAATCAAAAAGGGAGTCTTCTCCCACCCCTCCTCCCTGTTTTCAGGGTTAGGGACCCTCCTCTAGGATTCCAAGGTCCCCTGAGCTCACCCTTTACAGGGCACTTAAACCCCCTGCATTGACCAGGAGGTTTATTGGCTCTGGGATCCCCTTAAGGACTTTGCCTCATCTTCCCCATATTCCCAGTGCCCAGCACAGGAACCGGTGCAGAAAAAAGGAAGAGTAAATGCCTATGAAATAAACGAATTGGTTGGTGGCAAATAACACTGTTTACCCCCTCAAGGAAATATGTGAGAAATAGGCTGGCAAAATAAAACAAGTTAATGTTTCACTGAGCTGGAAGCTGGCAAAATGAGAGCCCTAACCTTGTATTTCAACAAGCACCAACACTGGCAGTAAATGTTAGGCTCGATTCACCTTCGGAATGAGGGCCGGCAGCAGGAAAACCAAAAGGTTGGCTACACCAGAGATAACTATTTCGCCAATTAATATTTCAAGCACATTTGGGGGATAAAGGATAGAGACCATTCTCAATACAAGGGTGGCAAATTTCCTCAGGAAATAAAAGAGAAAGAAAGAAGCTAAGGAAATTACTAAAGTCATAACCTTTCACCCTGGCTTGAACGACGGATCCCTAAAATTGGGGGTGATGCTACGTGGTGTCCAAACTCTTCCTGGGACATACAAGAGACTCCACAACCTCCCCACCTACCTCTCCTCTGTCCACAAGTGTCTCCCCACCTCCCGTGCTCCAGACCAACGACCACGAAGAGCTGGGGTTTCTCTGTGCCCCCAAGGTGCTGCGCTAGCCTGTCACTGCCCTTATCACTGTGGACGGTCATTCAGTGCCACTGGACAAGGAATCTCTTTAAGGAAGGACTGCATGGGCCCACACACAGAAGGCACTCACTTCACTTACGCTGGGTCCGTCTGTCTGTTCGAGAGGGGCTGCAGCACCCACAGCCTTGGTAGTTCTAGAAAGCATGCCCTGTGCACACAAGCGTGTGCACACAAGCGCGTGCCCTGGGCAGTGATGACAAGCACAGCTTCCAAGGCAGACTGTCCAGCTTCAAAGCCAGCTCTGCCCTTACTAGCTATGACTAGACAGGTCCCCTTCCTCCACTGTAACATGGAGACAAGAAAAGTGCCTACCCCATGAGGTGCTGTGAGGACTAAATGCTCACTGAGAACAGTGCATGGCACATAGTGAGGGCTCAGTACGTCTTAGCTCTTATTCGGGTCACAATGGAGATCGGACAGACAGCACAGGAGGAAACTAGCTTTCAGAAGCAAAGGGTTATAACAGATAACCAACAGTATTTGTACAGCTCTGTACTGCTTGTATTTACCAGGCACTTTTCACATGAATTACTAGCGGTTAAGCTTCAAACAGTCCTATAAGGTAGTAGGTGGTATCATAATTCTCATAGGTAAAGGAACCAAGGCTTCAGAGAGGTTAAGTAAGCTGCACACGGACCCACAGCACTGGAAATGGGATTCTGCTAGTCCAGATACTGAGCTCTATCGACCTGAACTGTAAGGAACCCCCAGCCCTGGAGCCTAGAGGAGGTTAGACAGCCTATCCCACTCCACCAGGGAGGCTGCCACCAGCAGGACGACCCGCCACCAGCAGGAGTTTAGCCAAGAAAAGTTTCCCTGGACCGTCCTGGGCTAATGAGGAGAATAGCATCCAACCAGCCCATGGTTGAGACCAAATGCGTGGTGGACACGGACACACACACCTGCGTGCGCGCGCGTGCACACGCACACGCACACACGCGTGCACACACTCACACATACGTGCACACACATACACACGCACGCGCATACGCACACACACGCGCACACACATACGCACACACACTCACACATACGTGCACACACAAACACGCGCGCACGCGCGCACACATACGCACACACAGACACACACGCCCAGAGACACGCGCCCGCACACAGGCGCACACACATACGCACACACACTCACACATACGTGCACACACGCACACACGCGCGCACACGCACACACTCACGCGCGCGCACACACAGATACACACGCGCGCACACACGCGCACACACTCACAAGCGGCGCAACCCGCCCACCCCGGCCGCCGGCTTCAGCCTCGGACTCGCCAGGAGACCTCGGCTTCCCGGAGCCTACGATGGCAACTCCCCCTTCCACACCCCCAAGTGCAGGCTGCGGGTCCGACTCTCCTGTCCGACCCCGCCGCCCCGGCCCGGCTCTCGGCTCCGTCCCGGCGCCTCCAGGGCACCGACACGCGGGAGGTGCCCTGGTGGAAGCCCCGCGCCCGGCAGCGCGCTCGACTGCAAGAAAGGCCGGCCGGCCGCGGGGGGCCCGAGCGGGGCTCTCTTACCTTCCTCGTTCTCGTCAAACACGGGGGGCTTGTGGGAGTGGTTCCCGCCCATATTCCGCCGCGGCCGCCGCTGCTACATGCCGGGCCGCGGGGCTGCGGGCTGCGGTGACAGCGTCCAGCCCAGGTTGTAGCCGCGCGCCGAGCCGGAGGGGGCCGAGCCCGCGCAGGG